GCCTCGATGCCAACGATTGTCTGTTTCATGCAACTTGCCGCTCAAAGCTGCCATATCTCTCATTTAGCTCATCGTTCCGTCTGAGCCGAGGTCTTCTAACTCATCAAAGCCTGCAGCCTTTGGGCACCAAACAGTCACTGCTGATGTCCATCTGTCATTCGTTAGTCATGCCACTTAGTTTTCCGTAGTCCCTCCGGAGCTACACGGATGGGGCAAGGGGCCATTTTTGCATTTCGTTCCAGTCATTCCTGGCAAATGGATTTGCCTTGTGCCTTTGACAGAACGCCAGTATGCTATCCACTCAGGCAAAATAGGGTTCCAGGTGACAGGTCACTGAGGTTTGGCCATCTTGCAGCTTTTTTCAGTAAGCTCCGGCAGAACCATCTCTTCTCGTGCAAAGGTAACATAATATACATAAAATGCCGTGCTCTGATGATGAGCAGATTTTAACACATATAAGCTGATTCGTTTTGATTTTGTACGTTCAACCATAGTGAAGACCTATTGCCTTGGAAGATTCTTATTTCTATCTTGGGACTGAATAGAAAATGAAGCTCAAACGACAAAGATCGTGAGACTGAATTATTGAGGTGGGGTGTCCACGAGATTTCTGTAAGTTTAGCCCTATGGCATTTTGCAGTCTGAATTAGTTAAACCTACTGTTTTAGTAAGTAAGTAGCCAGTAGCTTCTTATTTTTTCCAGGAAACTACGCATCTGAGCAGAACGCTACAAGAGACAACTGAACTGCCTCCTCTTAAATTATCCTTTGAAATAAGTGTGCTATGGCATCTCCATTAATAAATTTTCAATGACTTCGAAACACCTCATTCCTGTCTAATCAACTGAAGCTTTTTTCAGTGCTCTTGTCTGCCACATTGCTTGTGATGCCCTATGTAGACAACAGAGTTATGAAATGTAGGCATGCATTGGATCAAAAGTGAAAATCCTCGCACGACGTGGTACCGGATACCTCACAGTGATCTGTTGAACAGGTAAAATACAACTGATGAAAACAGCCGCTGATAACTCGCGAATACAGGCGGCTTCGGAGGATGATGACAACGACATGTACTTTTCCTCCTCTAGTGTAAAGATCAATTGGTCGACCTCGCAAAGTCCGTGCATACGACTGAGAAAACGACCTCAGAAGTTTTGATCCATAAGGACAGCGCCATAGGGAGGTACTAGCTGATGAACGACTATCGTTCCGGTTGTACAAATTTGTCTGACCAAGTGTAACACCGGAACAAACCAAGATGGAATCGCCCAGCGATGATCTGATTGAAGTCAGCTTGGTGCTCTGATTTTGTGCTTCGTTCTTGACATCAGTGATGTACTACCTTGTTGCCGAAATTAATTCTCTACTACTTTAAAGCATCGCTTCGCATTCATTCCGTTCCGAACATGAAGGCTGTGGAAAAGTATCAGTATGGCATCAAGTACTATGGAAACAATAAATGCTAGGGCGAATGACCGAATTGCGAGTTTTTGAACACTCAGCAATTTTGGTCTCTTGAGGTTGACGAGGCTTCACTGCACCTCGAATTGAATGAGCCTAGAGAATTTTGCAGGAGATTCAAAACATACACTTAATTTTAAAGGTAGATTATAAATTGGGCCTTTCTTCTTGGTATCAACAGCTCGTGGGGAATTGGATGACGAAAATAAGTTGACTGTTAGATACAGCTTTAAAGCGGTTCTTTCAGGAGGCACTAACATATAGTTTACGCCAATGCTGCTGCAGATAAAAATAACATGTATAATTACACCGGGTTGTACGGTAATCTTGCAAAGTCCCTTTGCTACTATTTGCCAAGAGATATCATTTAAACAGGTCACGCCTCA